TTTGCTCTGGTAAATGATGTTTGAGGACTTTAGCACACAGAATAACTTCATGCTAAAGATATTGATGTTTTCAACTAGTGAGCTTTTCTGAGATTTAGGGTCTTTTTTACCTTATTTATTATAACTGTTCAGCTAGTGTTACATAATACAAATCTATAATTTGATTGAACATTCATATATGTGACTATTTTATCTTTATGGCAGAAGAATTGCTCTGGAAATTTTATAATACAAGTGATTAATGTGATCTGAAACAGATTATCAGGTTTTTTCTTTCTTTTTTCTGTACATGCCACATTTACATCAAACTTTCTTTGCAAAAATGGAGAATAACTTTAAAAATTTTCCAGAAGTTCTAATAGGAACATGTTTTCACTTTTTAACTAATGCTGTATGCAAAATTCTAGCCTCCTTCATTAAAAAAGTATGATTTTTTTTCTGTTTATGGTGATCAAAACTTTCAGTAGGCCATTTCCTATTTTTAAGTTTATTCTTTATTTACCCGTTATGCACTGTGATTTTTTTGGATAATTCTCAATGGATGAATTGAACAGAGACATGTATGCTCTTGGATATCTTTGTCCAGATAGCTTGATGTTTTTCTTCTTGGTGGATTTTCTCAAGCAACCAAAAGCATTGCAGTTAAAAAGATGCTGGTGGGAACAGTTAATTTAGCCAAGTGGCTTAAGCTAACCCAAGGTATAAAAGTCTCTTCTACTCTGATGGAGAAGAGTCAAAAAATAGCCCACAAAACAGTAATCCTGCAGTTGTGAATACCAATTGGTATTAATGTAGGCCAGATATTTTTTAGGGTAGAACATTGAATTATAGTCTTGGTGCAAGCAGCTGGAAAGTTTGTGGGTTTTTATTTATTTTGGTGGAAGGAGTTTGGAGGAGAGCAGGGTGAGTGTCTTTATTTTCATAGAACGTGAACAGTAAGGAATATGGTTATTCCGGGATCCGAAAACACCTGAATGAGGGTATTTTTCTTCTCTTCAAATGCAGCTTTGAGTGAAATGCTGATAATAAACTCAGATACTCTGAGTTTGGTGCTACTGCCACTGTAGTAACCCTGGGAAATAGGGCATCAAGGATGTGTAGAAATTTTTAGCATGAAAACAACTTACTGACTATGGGCGGTGTCTGACGAGATTTTTGTTGTGCTTTGTAGTTAAAGATCTAAGTATTACTTTATTTTAACATTTTTAATCTTGTATAATAATTGAATAATTTTCTTAATTACTTTTTAGCAATCTGACATAATCTGACATATTTCCTGCTGTAAAATGACAGTAGTAACCTCAAAGCAAACCAGAAAGACACTATATGCTTCTAGTACAAGGTGCTTTTTAAGGCTGTTATTTTTGTTTTATTTTGTTTTTTGGATAGCATGTGATATCCCAACAGGATTTTTGGGGTAGACAGGTGCAGTGTTTGTTTTCCAGTAACTATGACATGTCTGGTTTGCCTCTTTGGAAAAGAGTTTACAAAGGTTTGGCAAATGAGGTTTGAAAATGGTGTAGTCCTTCTAAAAAATCTATCTTTGCAAAATTTATCTTCTGGTATTTGCTTAGTATCGCATAACAGGTTTGTGAGCAAGGAGGAGACGTTTTGGTTATACGGATTGAGTTAGTATAATCCTACTTGGTTCCTCAAGTATCTGGGACCTGCATGTGAATGTTGCCTTTTGACCTTGCTGAGTAAGGTTTTATCAGCATTAGGCTCTGCTTTAAAAGTGGTCTAATCAAAATGCAGTGGAAACTTGCCTTGGAGACAAGGGTAACAACTGGGGAATGCTTTGTAAGAGGGTATATTTCTTGTAAGCAGCTTTTGGTAATATTTCTCGACTGTTACATTGTCAACAGTTATTCCAGAATTTCTCCAAATGATTATTTCTTAAGAACAACCTGAGAAATAAAAAGCGTTTTATGTAGCTAATGGACCAACTGCAGAGCATTTATTATGCTCTGTTCTGCTGATTAAGGTCCACCAACTCATGCAACTTTGGTTGCTGGTTAAAGTTAAGAAGGAAGCAAAAAATACTGGATCAGTACTTAAAGGTACGGACAGCCAAATAGAGACTACGCATTTTCTTGTTTGGAGTTTGCAACTGAGAGTCTTGAATTCCTAAGAGTAATTTACCAAAACTATCCGAGATCTCCTTGGCCAGCTACTGTGATGAGCACCCAGTTGATGTGAGGATAGATACTATTTGAGATTAATGGAGTTATTTAGTCTCCTATCAAGGTTTCTTTTAGAATTTCCTGAGTAGCAGCTCACTTGCAGGGTACACTTTCTTTTTTTCTTTTTCTCTCTCTTTTCCTCAATGAGGTGAATTCTAGGCATTTCTCCATAGATTTTTTGTTCAGTAAAGATGGTCTAATTGCAGTGGTATACCTTGTTACTCTCTGAAAGTGATTGCCTAAGTTCAGGGTTAGTTACAGAAGGTAATTAATAAAATAACTTTTACCTTATAATAATGAACTTGAGATAGGAAAGTATTATCCCTTTATATAGGAAGACTTGGGACACGAAGAGTGAATCACTAAAGGTCACATGTAGGGTATGGAAGTAGAATTCATCTCTATTTCATTAAATTGTGTCACTGGGAATCTTAGCCAAAAGTCTACTTTTAATATTAAAAATGTGGAAAAAATTAGTTCCCCTTTTATATCAAATATGCCTTGATATTCTTGCTGAAATGTTTTCTGAATCTAACTTTATAATTTGTAATACTTTATATAATACCAACTTAATAATAAACTTTGTCTTCTGATAGGATAGTTCTTAGGCTGAAAAGACCCAAAGCTCTGCAAGAAAGTGCTCTCCAGAGTGAGTGCTGTTAGTTAGGGGTGACAGTTTGGGGAAGGTGAAGTAGCTTTTAGGTTTTCTCTCCCATGAAGACTGACAGGAAAACTGACTCCTGACTCCTGCTGCATTTTTGCAATGCACCCCCCAGGTAACTAAACATTACTATATTACAAAGCATAACAATCTTTCTCTGTATTCCATTCATTAGTTCCTAGCAGGAAATAGGCTTTTCAGTCTCTTTCTCATCATAAATTTGGGTTATCTTGTATTTAAGCAGTCTCAACACTTCACTCTGCTAATATGTAATTAAGATCTCTCAGAGCTTGCTTGATGTCTATATTTAATTTTGGAAATGTACAAACTCAGTAAATTGCCTTAAATTTAAAAAACAAACGAACAAAAAAACTAAAATGCCACAAAGCAGTAGTTATACATAAAGTTGCTTGTGCTTGAGCATTATTTTATCAGTCATTGCTGTAGCAAAAGATTGCAGTGTGTACTGTACTTAAAGCATTCTTGAATTGCTTATAAAACCTCCGTGGTTTGCATACATAGTTTTTGCATATCTTCATTTTTAGTGGAATATTTTAGCAACTGTTTGTTTTTTTGTCTTGTTTTTAATAGAAAAAAGTTGTCCTGGTGGGGTGTGTGCTTTTTTTGTTTGTTTTGTTAAATGCCTTGCAGTCAGTTTATGGTAGGCAGCCACCATATGAGTACCAAAATCTTTAAGCCCTGTATTTATAGCAATTCATATAGGTAATAATGACCTATTACATCTTCTTTCTTCTCTTTCTCTCTCCCTCCCTTCCTCTCTCCATGCCTAAAATCATGTTGTAATAGTTATGTGATTATGGAATACATGATTGATTCAGCTCAGAGTTTGGTAGGCTAAAATTAATGTTTCAAAGAGGGGAAAAAATCTTCCTAAAAGTAAAATATTGTGTGATTTAATCATTTCATGTACAGACTTTAAAATTTAATATTGAGTAAAATATATAAAATTGAATATTTTCATTTGACCAATTTCCCAACAGTTTTCTCCTTGAAAAGTTAATGAGAAACTTAGAACAAAATTGAAGTTAGAAATTGAGTTGTATTTCAGTAAAAAAAGAAGACTAAGATGTATCTATTGAGAAGCAGAACAGAAAGAAGTGTCTTTCTCATGGCTTTGTGCCAAGTTGAGAGGGCTGGTGTCCTGTGCTGGTGCAAAAACCAGGTGCCTCGAAGCAGAGCACCAGGCACCCTCCCGAAAGGCTCCGTGTCGAGATTATTTATTTGGTGATTATTCATTTGAATCTCTGAAACCTTCGGTTCAGATCCATGTGACTTTCCTGAACACACTGTGATCTCTGAATGCGACAAGCAGATGCTCATGATGGTTAAGCAAGCAGGGTTTGTGAAAGACTTCTTTCTTATGAAATGGCAAGTACATCCTGCAGGCAGTGCTGTTCATTTGCTGTGCTTAGTAGGTCTCCTAAGCAGAAATAATCACTGGAAGACTATTAGTGCCAGAGAATGGAAAACAAGGCACAGACAAGTGATGGAAATGAACACTAAATAAAAATGGGAAGATGATGTAGTCCAGAAGTGTTTTTCCAATTTCTTCATATAAATATTAATGCAGATTCTATAATAATTTTCTAATTACAGCTAATTCTAATTAGCTGTACCCCTCACTATTAGCACTGTGTGTGTCTTTATCATGTCATGTGGTTGCAGCTGTGCAGTCTCTCCTGCTCCTTCCTTCCCTTAGATCATAGCTGTGTTCAATGCTGAAATAATGTCTTAAAAATGAAAACTGTTTTTTTAAGCTGGCATATTCTAAATCAAATAAGCCAGTAATGTTAGTATGTTAAGACTTGTTAAGATGTTGGCTGTGAAAGGACTTCAGCTTTCCTTTTTTTTGTTTTTTGTTTTCTCTCCCTAAAATTATCTTCACTAGTAAATACAATACTTGGATAATTCATACCAATGAAATAGTCATTGTGTTTACATATTCCCCAGTCTCCTGTCTTCAAGGAGCAGATTTAGCTTCTGGTTGTGTCCTTTGACAAGTAAGTGTTCAGAAATAGCACTTTTTTTGTCTTTATTTTTTAAGTAATAGTTGATCTTATTAATGTTTTTGAAATTCTGTGCATCTGTTCTGTTTATATATTTGCATTATTGTAAGTCTATTCTATTTTTTTCAGGTTTAAGCCATTTTTTCCATTTCAAGTACTATCACCTGATGACTATGAAGATCGAGACCTCTGTATACAGGATTTTCCATTGGCAGAAGGTCGACTAAAAGTCACATTAATTGAATGTACAAGGTATGTTTTGTGGTCTTCTCCTCATTTAGTCACATATATTTTCTTAAATTAATAATTATAGTTGTAAGTCTGTTGTCATACAAGAAGATAACAGTGACTTTGGTGTTGTGAGTAAGCTGTAATCAAGAAATGTATAGTTTTAAGTAAAAATGCTCTGCTCAGTTGAACAAACAAAAGTTGCAGTAAGTTTCTGAGACTCTCTGTTGGCATGTTTTGCCATTCTTTTGTTTTCTGGGAGGGATTCAGTCTAATCTATATTTTTTTCAGCACATCAAATTATGAAAATCTGCCCATGACACGGTACCTAGTGATGCAATTGTGACATGCTGTAAGCCAGGGAAAGTATTTAGTTAATTAACAAAATAAGAGACTTTAAGAGTGCGTTTGAAAGCTAGTGATCCTCTTTAAAGCTGAAGAAAAGGCGTGTGGGGTTTTGGCATGTTCTTTGTCAGGGCTCTTTGAATCCTCGGTTTATTTTGGTTTATCCCAGCTGTGCCTGCAGTCTTTGATCCTCTCGGATCATCCTGATCTTTATCAAGCAAGCTCGAGTTTGCAGTGAGTTTTGAACGAGTTATCCTGCCTGCTCATGTTGCTGGAGGAGCCACTTGTGCGATGTTTGCTTTAGCCTTGTGTGCACGTACTAGAGCTAACGCAGGTGCTTGTCAGGTGGCTCAGAGGATGCAGTTACTGGTTTCTCGGACCTTAAAACTTCATGTGTGACTTCATCCAGCCATTTTATACATGTTGCAGTCTCTGGATGTGTGCATTAAAATTGGATATGGGCATTCATGCACGTTTAAGGTTTGTCCCTTAGTACTATAGTAATTCCTAAGATCCTGCACATGTTGGGACACTTTTTTGGGACTTAAGCAATTGCTGTCTGTAGAATCCTCATATAGGTGAATATTTTTCCTGGGGTTGCACCTGAGGGTGTTTGTGACCTCAAAGCTGAAAGGCACACAGAGAATTTCATAAGAGTAGACAAAATACGCAGTGTACACGAAGGTTACAATTTCAGAACTTCTTCCATTTTCATCCCTGTCATGTGTGAGCTGGTGTGAAGGTTATTGGGGTCATCCTCAGGTGTTCATTTGCAACAAAGCACTGTGTGCTGAAACAGAGCTTTTTTTTCCTCCCTCCCATCTCTTGCATAGAGACCTCTGCTCTATCACCGTGCTTTCTCCATCCAGAACTCTCTGTTCCTCAGACTCGTCCTTGAATCTTAAAAATGAGAATAGTTCTGTATGGCTGGGAGCTCTTTTTTTCTTTTTTTCTTTTTTTCTTTTTTTT